GTTTGTTTCATTTTTAACCACCATCAAACATGGGTGTATACTTACTTTTGCCCGGCAGTTTACACAAGTTACAATTACTTCCCAATCGTTCGATCACTGAGACGATTGGAACATGGTGGTCGCAATTACAAATTGCACAGATGATTGATAGATGATGGATTTAACAACAAGTAAGGTCATCTTGAGCGGGACGGTTTTCGTAGATGGATTAGCATATGAACTATGACTCTCCTTAGGTAGAAAATAAAGATCCACGATGTTCGACCTGGTAGAAGTGTGTAATCAAACCGCACAGCATTAGGCTTTGATTGACTGTGGTGTCAAAACAAACTCATTCATGTAATTGACCTGAATGTTCATCTTTATTGTTATGGATAGTCACGGAGCCGTGATCCAGAGAACAGGGTGTCATTAGATATAAATGAAGTAATAATGGGATTACCAGAAAAAACGGGGTATAACACCCAAGCCAATAAGCTTCGCTCAGGAACACCAGAGTAAGTCAGTACAAGATTGAAAACTGCCCCATAAGTATGTATTACAGGCTAGTCGGGTATTGCTACTTGTATGATTGAAAACAAAGTTATTAAAATGAATAGCAAAACTGATGAAAGTCACCAATAAACGTGTAGAAGTGTTATATCGTCACTGCAAAAATAATGAGTGTTTGTCTTTAGTATTAACATTCAAATACGTGATATCTGTATTAGCGATATTGTCTACGTTCCACCGGTGAGTAAGCGTTAGGCTTACTATCTCGTAGTATAAATGTTGCAAGAAATTGTATTTCTGAAGACATCACGATACAGTTTTTACGACGCATCACGTCTGCACTAGCGCTTGATAACAGCCTTGTGTTTGGGTGTTTCAGTAGTTTGAATTGCTGCTTTTGATATTGTTGATTAAACTTTGATACTATGAACAATATATAGTTATATGTGAGTATGACTTTAGAACGGTAACATGCGTTAATGTATATCTGATATAAATATAGAATGACATAAATAGAACAATGAGTAGTACGTCCAGATTAGTGTATAGACAACATCTAATAATTAATTTCAACAACTCTCCTTTTAAGTCTTTTTTCCTGACTTAAAAGTAAATGAAAGAACACAATCGTCCGGAATACAATGTATAATTCTGGTGCACTTTCATGAGACTATATAGCATACAATAAGCTTTCGGGTCCCGTTTGGATCGGTTTGGGTGGCAGCTTAGATATCCATAAAATAGGTTCATCTCGGAATCTCCCATATAACTGGGGCTCCTCTTCAATTTAAATGGAGTTACTTGTTTCTTTCAAAACTAGGCAGTTTTGGAGACTAAGCATTAGTCTGAATAGACATCACCAGTTTGGAATTTTAAACTAATCTGTTTACAGTAACAGGACACTGCTTAAGTGTCATGTACAAATGAGAAAGTGGAATCCCGTCAATTTGGCGGACGAACCTTAAAACTATTAATAAACATTATAATAAGCAATATCGTAAAAATGTATATGCATATAATATCTGTCAATATACACCAAGATCACCTTCTACAAAAAAAAGTTTTAAAAGCCGGTTGATATTCGTTAGCGTATTTGACGATTATATAACTTTCGAAAGTATAAATCCTTTTCCTATACTCAGACGTTCCTGAGCCTTGCGCTTTCCTAATTATTTTGACTAAAATTATTATCGTTATCATTGTTTTAGTTAATGGGAAACGCGTGCCGATCAAGAACATGCCATAAATTAAAGCGACATTGTACGATTCCGAACTTATCACGAGACTGTGTTTATGAATCATTGTCAAGTAGTGGGGACAAAGTGGAAACAATACGCGAAATCGCGCATGCACAGAACGGAAAATTTACAGAGTACAGCGTCAACTCGGGCCTGTAATCTAACATACGAGAACTGACCAATGAAATCTGAGAAGTAGGAATACCGGTAGACGCTGTTGCTTGATTGACAATGTCAATCAAGAAAGGGAGGAGCTTGATGATATCGTTCTCTCCCAGTAAATTCCGATGTCGAATAACGAATAAAACTGTGGCCGATCGCGATTCTTGGACCTACCACTCCTTGGTCAACAATGCCACGCCTAACTCAAATTCAGAGAAACCAGGATATCGGACGTTTGGAAGCTGGAGAGTCTGTCTAAGATGTTGCCCGTCATTTCAACGTTAACATTACCACAATTTACCGTCTCCTGCATCGATACAATGCTACACAGACCACAGATGACCTTCCTCGGAGCGGTCGTCCTAGGGTCACCACACCTCGACAAGATCGGCAGATTACCCATCAACACCAGCGACATCCGTTCCTAACTGCAAGAGACGGTGCTCGACAGACCATGGGAACACAAAATCGACACATTAGCCGGGACACTGTGATCCGACGTCTCCGTTCAAACAACCTCAGATGTCGCCGATCAGCACGTCGTCCTGTTCTCCAACCACGGCATCGACAAGCACGACTTCAGTGGGCACAGGGTCACCACAAATGGCGTCATCGTGAGTGGAGGCGTGTCATCTTCTCTGATGAAAGTCGCTTTTGTGTCTCCCATGCAGACGGAAGAGTCAGAATTTGGCGGCGTCGAGGTGATCGTTTCGCTGACAGAAACGTTGTGGAAAGGGATCCATGGGGTGGACCTAGCGTCTTGATTGTGCTCTCTGAAGGTTGGTCAAGGTCGGGGACACGGTGTCACAAGTGATCAGACCCCACGTTGTTCCATTTTTTGCACAACACCAACAACACATTTTCCAGCAGGACAACGCTCGATCTGAACCCCATCGAACACTTGTGGGATGAGGTTCAAAGGCGTCTGCACAATGTGCGCCCAGTCCCTACAACTGCCGATGAACTACGCCCAGCTGCTCTGGATGTGTGCAAGAGGATCTGCAGGGCCTTCACAAATCGTCTGATCCACTCAATGTACATGAGATGTGTGGGAGTGATCAATGCTAATGGTGGTCACGCCAGGTATTGACTGACATTTTGGGTATTGACCCGAAACTGTTTAGGCCTTAACATTTGAAAAAAACAATTATGTCATCTGCCTTTTAATCCATTAAACTGTCTTCAGTCAAATTTTTGTCAATCTTGCCCCATTAGTATTTCTTGTCTTTACTGTTGAAAATAAATAACATGTATACTGCATACTCGACTTGCGTTTCTTTTGCGTGGGAGTATAGTTTCCAGCGATACAGTTTACCTGCCTAAGCGACTATTTGCATAGGTTGTTATACGTCCTCATCATCCATCACCTTGTATCTAAAGGGGTAATGATGTCTTGTTCCTTCTTAATCCATATATCCTGTCCTTATCACTTCTTAAAGTATTCATCTCATGTTGAATGTTCTACTGTTGAATAATGTCTCTATATACTGTTCATGGTTGTAAGCAATATTAGCAATAAATATGTTATCAACTGCTTGGCCAAATGTTTGTTTCTAACCCTATAAAATCGTGTCAACTATTTCGTCAATAAAGATGCTTATGTGATTGTTTGCAGCATCGTTTAACGATTATGCCTTATGGACTGTATAATCGGTCGGTGGCCCCTTAATGGAAATAAACACCTTATTTTTCTCATTCGATGGGAAAAGCATGTCCAATCTGTCTAAGGGCGGCTGTGCGTGCGTGTGTGTGCATGCATGGTGTTCATTGTGAGTCTATGCATATCATGTTACAGAAATAACATTTACACAACACGAAAGTAAAGTTTGGATGATTTATTATATTTACAATGTCATTTTGACAAAGGGTAACGGATAAAGGAATAAGTGTGACTGAGCGAGTATGGTTTTAACCCGCGTTTAGCAATATACCAGCAATATCACGCAGGGACACTAGAAATGGGCTTCACACATTGTACCCATCTGGGGAATGGAACCCGGGTCTTTGGCGTGGCGAGCGAACGCTTTAACCACTTGGCTGCCTCACCGCCCCTAAAGGAATAAGACTGGTCATGTGACATGTATCATGACCAAGAATCGTGTATACATGACATTTGAAACAAACAGTCATGAATCTTTCATGGAAGGCAAATATTTCCCAAAATCAAAATATATAAAGGCAGCTGAAACACATCGACTAGCACGTTGAACAATGTTCACTGTCTTTATAAATTCGTGACAAAATATAATGGAAATGACAGTATGATTTCCTAATTTCCTAAGTAAGTGAGATAATAATATTTAACGCCGCAGTCTGCACTGTTTAGCTATATCACAACGGCTGTACATAATCGAATCTCGACCTGGGAAACCAATGGTTGACAGCATGAGCAACAGAAATGTCAGTCGAGACCGGTCACACAATCCTCATTTTAGACAACAATGGCGACGAGCATGCAATGGGCGTATATGAAAGCAAAGCTTTGGAAACCGTTTGTGGTAGACATGTATTTGTTTGTTTTTGTTGTTGTTGTTGTTTAACGCCACACTCAGCATGGTAGACATGTGGAGCACATTTCTAAATACAATAACACATTGGGCTCTGGTTGCAGCAGAGATTTCCCACGGTTACAGAACTGGACCTATTGGTTTTATGTACAAATTAACGCCGCATGAATAAGGTTGATCAATATAGGAACACACATGAATATTGTTTATCTATTTCCATAGCACTTTAAGATGTTATATATTTGGTACCAATTATTGTGTTTGTGACAATTTTCAACAAAAACATGGAGATGGTGAAACTTTCCACACCAGGGTCATTTGTGTGGAAATAGAATCAGCCAGTATATCAATGTTGTTGTTACGTCACCGTCATTAACTTGGGTAATTAAATCTGAGATCATGCGCCACCACCACAGCACCAGATATTCCCATGCACCTATTAATTGGAACAAATCGCAAATTGTGTATGTATTATACGAAGTCATGTTAATAGAATTCAGTAACAGAATTCAGTAAATATTAAAATTAAAGTATTCCCTCACACAGTAAATAAAAATCAGTTCTGTTGCACTCTGTAATAATTTGGTTCTTGTTCTCGGGTCGATATATGAGCATAGGTTGCCCATCTGACACCAAAGCGATTCGATTCTTACTGCAGCGTGTATCTAAACTTTATGTGACAATCAGCCATGTTTTCCTTGTATGTTCTGTCAAATAGCTCGTTCTGGGCCACGGTGAAATAATGTTTCCATTCGCCAACTTCACCTGAAACACGGGAAAAAGGCAACAGAATCTCATTGAATAAATATGCGTTCGAACAGGGTTGGGGTGGGTAGGATGGGATAATGTGTCTCACATATTTTGACATTTTATCCTAAAAAAATGCTGCAAAAACATGCACAGTGGCACATCGTCATGCTCTAGCAATTTCTAAATGCCATAGAGTCCATCAACAATAACCAGCCACGAAAATGGCTATTTTCTTTTGTACTCCCTCCAAAAACAAACGCACATGAATGGATTTATGTCATGGATCAACGGAAAGCCGCTGAATGTTTAGATATGACACACGCTACAACAGTTAACACCAGTCACTGATGCAGACATGACATGTCAAGACCATCTGCAGAAAGTATCATATGTGCCCACCTTGGGAGTCAAGACATCTCATGTCCATGGTCATGAAAGCTATGAGGGTACGATTCGGACCTTGGGGAATGATGTCCCACTCGGCCTGTAGTACCCCACTGAGACAGTCTGTGGATGACGCTGTCGCACCCGTGTATGCGAATCATCCTAAAAAGGATTGACAATGTTTACATCTGGTGTTCGAGAAGTCCAGGCCAGGACTTGAATGCTGCCAACTATTCTCTCGGGTGGGTTGCCCTGAGCGTGAACCAGGTTGGGTTTGACATTGTGTGCGATTCCTGCCCACATCACCACGCTACCTCCACTGAATCTGTATGCAGTAAGGCGTGAAATGTTCACGTCGACGTTTATACACAGGACATCTTCAATCTGCACGACAACGCGAACAACATGACTCGTTGCTGAACTAACGTTTTCCATCCAGATGTAGTGCTGGCACGTATACCCACCTTTTCTGTACATAATAGATGAACCGTCAGGTGTTGTGATAAATTTGCCTTTCGTTGCCTTCATTTTGTTGAAACTCGTCACCTCTTTTACTTTAAGGTAGAATTCCTCTGATTTCTCAGCATTCAGAAACTTAGCTAGCTTTCTAATACCGGGAAGTGGATCCTGAAATAGATGAAGTATTGGCTGACATTATCACAATGATAAATAGATATATGACATCCCCTCAACGTTTTCGGTTTTATTGTCGAGTTCCCACTGGCTCAGTTTCTCTTACCACGCCAACAGAATATATTTCAAGAAACATTAATCGCCATACCCTCTCAAAGGGGCACGGTTGATCCAGTCGTCTGAAGCACCCAAATCCCATAGATGCGCCAGAAATCTACCATGGTAGCTTTGTATCACATATTATGTGACCTGTGAAGATCAGGGGTAGAATAGGTCTTCAGCAACCCATGCTTGCCGTAAAATGCGACTATGCTTGTCGTAAGAGGCGACTAACAGGATCCGGTGGTCAGGCTCGCTGACTTGGTTGATACACGTCACCGTATCCCAATTGTGTGAATCTATGTTCATGATTTAAATCACTGGATTGGCTGGTCCAGACTCGATTATTTCCAGACAGCCGTCATATAGCTGGAATATAGCTCAGTGCGGCGTTAAACAACAAACCAAGCAACCAACCACACATTATGTTTTTTGGTTGTCAGCACCATACCTGTGCTGGTGGGGTCCACAATACTAGGAAGCGTCTAAGACTTGCATCTCTTTCCTCCCACATCAATGTGTTCACTTAAACTTTGTTCACAAAAAAATTGTGATGACCATTAAGCAGATGCTGGCATCGTGACCAGAGAATCGATGTCGACATGAGGTGAAGGGAAATGGGGTTTAACGTCGCGTCCAAGATTATTGCACTTATCTAGCGACGTGCATGCACGTGTGTGTGTGTGGCTCCTTGTACAGATCCGGACTGATGGCGATTTATAGTGCTAGCACACAGAGATACCATGCAGCAGTTTAACATGAATACCCCACTCAGACACAGTATACTGACTCCGAACCGACCAGTCCTTGTTTAAGCCCCTTTATGCCGAGCGCCAGACAGGATGACAACAAGTACCATCTTTTGACGTATTTTGCTATGACGCGGCCGGGCATCGAACCCCGGACCTTCCGCTCTCCGGGCGGACGCTCTACCACTAGAACACGGAGGCGGTCCGATGCTGACATTAAGAAAAATCAGTGTATACATACATTGTATATTTGGTTCAGTTGATCTGCTGGAAAAACAACGACATACTCAGCAGCCTAAGCACATAATTAAGTGAGTGAGTGTGTGAGTTGGGTTAAACGCCGCTTTTAACATTATTCAAGTATAGCAGCGTGTCAGCTTAATGTGGGAGGAAAGCCTGAAGTGATGCAGGTCTCAGACGTTTACCACTTGGTGAAACCCTCGAGCACGGGTAAAGTGTTGACAAACCTAGAAATATTATCGGGGCGAACCGGGATTCGAACCCACTATCATAGGTTTCTGGCGTGCCCAAGTGACGCAACTCTGCACAGCAAATCGCGGCGCCTTAGATGACTGGGCCACCCGTGCCCCCGCGCCGGTCTACAAATCAAGTGCAACCATATAACATGGCTCCCCCTCATTATTGTTGCGAAAACATAAACGCTGGAATTAAAAGCATCATAAAGATTCACTTAATGACTTACGAGTGCATCTCTCATTCACTACCACATAAACCCCAATGGACTTTGCACAATGCAATTACAAATAGAGCACGTACGAGCCACGTGAAGCTGAAGAACTGTTACCTCTTTTAGATCTTCATACACCAGGGTCAAGATCGGCAAGTCGGGATGGGTTGTCCCAATGGCAGCCCAGTCCTTCAGGTATGTGAAAAACGACCCGAAGTCAACTGAATTGTGGAGATTTTAGTATTAGGGGTTTGTGAAACTTGCCTTCTAGTGTTGATTGTATTCATCTCTATTCTATTTTGAGAAAAAACTTTGGACCCATTCAGTTACATAGCTTCGCTAAGGCGATCCTTTTACGTTATGATACGACCCCTCCCCGAATAAAATAGTCAGAAGCTTTATTGATGCAGCATTCTGGTCGTTGCCTGGTCAGTCAGCAGTTTGTCTATCTGGAACGTAAACAACATTCGCCCCCTCACTCACTCCTCCTGAATAGCTCTAACCTTTCCCATCCAGCAGTAAAGGGAAATAATTTTCCCATTTCCCATCATATTCATACGATTGTATTTTCTTGTGGTGGTGGAAGAACGACACTGCCATGTCCTTGGGGTTTCGAAGAATGTAGATGATCTTGCACTTCTTCTCAATGACACCACGTGGCAGCTGCTCGACAAGGCAATGCGTGTTTAAAACTCGAGGGGACGGGAACTTCTCTAAGACGTCATTTCCCATGAACTCCAACATCAATTTCTCCTTAATTATAACAGTCTCCGTGTCGCTCGACAGAAGAAGGCGGGCCATTTCCCACACCCAGTGAGTGCCTGAAATTCCTCAACAGAGAGAGAGATTAGTTAGCATTTTGCAGCGAAGTTGGTTGGTTGGATGGATTGTTGTTTAACGCCGCACTCAGCAATATTCCAGCTATATGACGGCGGTCTGTAAATTTTTTAGTCTGGACCAGACAATCCAGTGATTAATATCATGAGCATCGATCCACGCAATTGGGATTGATGACATGCATCAACCAAGTCAGCGAGTCTGACCACCCGATCCCGTTAGTCGAATCAAATTACAACAAGCATAGTCACCTTTTACAGCATGCATGGGTTGCTGAAGACGTATTCTATCTACCCCGGATCTTCACGGGCCTAGAAGCAAGGTGTATTCGTCTCCTGGCAGTTAAAGCCTTTCTCAGGTTCGATTTAACATGTGTGAATAATGAATGGAGCCCCATTCCAGGTGGCCATTGACCTGATTTTGATGAAATATTCCTAAAAGCGATAAAACGTCACTCACTCGCTCTTATTTCTGATGATTTTATTTGTGAGTGAGTATGGTTTTACGCCGCTTTTAAGATACTCCATCAATATCACCGCGGGGAACACCAGAAATGGGCTTCACACATTGTACCCATGTGGGGAATCGAACCCGGGTCTTAGGTGTAACGAGCGAACGCTTTAACCACTAGGCTACCCCACCGCCCTGGGTTACCTTGTGCCCAGCACGTGTGTCATAAATATGATTGCAAATAACGTCAAACCAGCGGAAAGGGAAGGAGTATGTGACTGAGTGGTTTTACGCTGCTTTTAGCAATAAACCAACAATATCACAGCGGGGTACACCAGAAATGTGGTTCACACATTGCATCCATATGGAAATCGAACACGGACGAACGTTTCAAACACTCACCTCCCCGTGTCGAGGAAGAACAATGATACATGGAAGATAACCTGGATTAAGTATATGCGACCTGATACTAGTATTTGTCAGGATCCACTCGTCGTTGGTTCTAATGCAACCTTCTGCTGTCAGCACCACTACTCAATGTTCGTAGGTTTCGCCAAAGTGGTAAAATGCCTTTTTGAAAAGAAAAAAAAGCTCATAATTTTGTGTAAATAAAAAACTCAGCATCCATCTGCTTGAAAAAAACAAAACAAACTTTAGCCACAATAAAAAGTCTCGGCCATAATATGGCCATCCTCATCTGTTCCTGAAAACAGAAAGAATTATATAGTCGTATATATACGTTAAACATTCCCAAGATTGTAAACACATAAGGAAATAATCACTGGACTTTCTAAAAGGTCCAGAAATTTTTACAAACAAAATAATTGGCTTCGCCTATCAGAGAAGAAGATTGTTTGTCTTGAAGGTTTGAAGTGATGTTCCATCTCCAAAAGAAATCGTTGCAAGGCCCGCAGGGATTCACTTATTCCGCGATTCATAGTTGTCATACATGTAGATGTCTCACCAACATCCTTTTAGCATTACAGTCCGTTTGATTCCATCTGAGACCGATGAATTGCTCACTAACTCAAAATCTAATAATTGCAACAAAACCAAAATGTGCACAGCGACATGAATTGGACAGACCAACTCTGATGGTTTGTCTCATAATTTTGGACACCCGAATAAAAAAATTGTTTAATAAACGATCATCATATTGTTGACATTTTTCGCCATCTCCTACCAGGGAGGACCAGTCGCTCATGGAACAGCCAGGTAATGAACAAGCATGTGCACCGTATATGGGGGTCATCTCACAAGCTGTTTTGGGTGTTCAATCGGAGTCACTGTTGCAGGTTTCTGAAGCTGTGACAGTGCATTCTGAATCGGTGTCGCTGTTGTCCGAATCGCTATCGCCGCTGTCCGTGTCTACCCTGATGATCACTTGCTTGATTGTGGCATGGTCCAATTCACTTTGATCCAAATAATGTCTCTCTATTTCATTCTCAACACACTTTTGCCACGTTTCCTGCGTGATGGTGTCTATTGATTGTTGAACCAGTTTCTGTACATCCCGCAGTTTGAATGTTGTATTTTGCCTGGCAACATCCGATTAAATGATACCCCAAATTAGTTCTATTGGGTTCAAATCACAATGATAAAACTGAATCGCAAAACTGAATGGCCATGTTCTTTAAGATACTCGTCAACTTTAAAGACAGGTGTGGTTTTATTAGACTTTATAATATCATACAGAACAGGTTGCTTTTTATGGATACGGTATTGCTTTGTTTGTCAACCATTCTATCATATCGCCCTTCCTACTGTTAGACGTTGGGGCTTTTGTGTTAGGTACCTGAACGCCATGATATGGAGCATTGTCCATGACAACCAGACTCTTGGGGGGCAATACCGGTACCAGTTGAGTTTTAACCCATTCTAGGAATACCACTCCGTTCATTTCGGTATGATAGTCTCGGTTGTCCTTGGATTTTGCCTTGAAGACTAGCGAACAGCCTGGTAGGAATTCCCGACTCTTGCAGCCAGCATGGAGCACAATAAGCCACTCACCCTTGCCAAGTGGCAATTTCCTGGCACAGAAATCAGAAGAGGAGCTAGGGAACCATTGTGTTCCTGTGGTATGGGAAGCGTTTACCCACGTTTCGTCCAAGTATACGGGCTTATAAACCTTGTAACGTTTTTCTCGTAGTGTGCGTAAGAAATGGTTCCTTAGTCGAAAAATATCAGACCTCTCGCATAATGCATGTCTATTTTCGGAGCATACTTTTTTGTAACGGAAACCAAATTGGTGTAGCAATTTCCATAACTGATATTTTGAAATGGTCAATGAATGATTTGTCTCCATATATTTTTTAAGAGTACGGAGAGAGACATAGATATTTTGTTTATACAGAGTCTTAATGGCGTTTCTAACCATCTCTTGTTGAAATGAATCGACTTTAAAACATCGCTTGGGTTTTGAGTTGTCCCCTCAGGTGTGTCACTGCAGGTTGAATCAGTATTCTTTTTTAACATAGTTTTTAGTTCCCTTCTGTTATCCCAACTGCACGTGCAGTTCGTAAACGATACTTTTTCAAAGCATATTGTGGTCTACCTCTTTCATGAGACAAACCATCAGAGTTGGTCTGTCCAATTCATGTCGCTGTGCACATTTTTGTTTTGTTGCAATTCTTAGATTTTGAGTTAGTGAGCAATTCATCGGTCTCAAATGGAATCAAACGGACTGTAGCTGATTGTATTGCTTTAATAAAATTATCTATCTTCCATTGAAGACTCACACAATAAATTATTCATTCGTCACAAGCTGTCAATCGATACAGCAAGTTGCATACACGCAACACTGCATGTGAACTCCCACTGTGCATAACCGATTCCTTTTGCGCTGCATGGAACTTTACATAATTTTCGTAAGATCTCAGTAAACTCTTAAAACCATTTACAACGGTAGCTACTTCATATCTTTTCACTTTGAATATATTAAAATACGATCTAAACACACATTTTCGAAGACCATTAAAATCTCCCACATGCCAACGAAATGAACAGCTGTTCGCGGTAAAGACGCCTGTACTCGGGAAATATTTCCTCTTTTTAATACCACATAAAGCGGACAATGAATAGAATACATTAATATTCATGTAATTATTATTTGTTTATTACAAACTAGAGCAGACAATAAATAGAAATACATAAAAGATAATGTAATTTGTATTTTATTTCAGTTGACAATGCTTATTATGCAGTAATATACAGATTTTTAAATATTCCCAGCAGAATAATAAAGGTTCGGAAATAGGTTACGCAAGGATAAAATTATACTCACATGCAAAAGAACCGCACGTCGAATATGCAGTATACATGTTATTTATTTTCAACAGCAAAGACAAGAAATACTAACAGGGCAAGATTGACAAAAAAATGACTGAAGACAGTTTAATGGATTAAAAGGCAGATGACATAATTGTTTTTTTCAAATGTTAAGGGCTTACACAGTTTCGGGTCAATACTCAAAATGTCAGTCAATACCTGGTGTGACCACCATTAGCATTGATCACTGCCACACATCTCCCGTACATTAAGTGGATCAGTGAAGGCCCTAGGGATCCTCCTGCACACACCCAGAGCAGCTGTGCGTAGTTCATCAGCAGTTGTAGGGACTGGGCACACATTGTGCAGACGCCTTTGAAACTCATCCCACAAGTGTTCGATGGGGTTCAGATCAGGGCTGAGGGCTTGCCACGGTAGAACACGGATGTTGTGTTGTTGCAGAAAGGCCATGGTAGCTCTGGCAACATAGGGACGAGCGTTGTCCTGCTGGAAAATGTGTTGTTGATGTTGTGCAAAAAATGGAACAACGTGGGGTCTGATCACTTGGTCGATATACCGCTGAGCAGTGACGCGGTGTCCCCGACCTTGACCAACATTCAGAAAGTACATGGGTCCAAGTCTCGCATTAAGTCCAATCCCTGCCCATATCATGACGCTAGGTCCACCCCATGGATCCCTTGCCACAACGTTTCTGTCAGCGAAACGATCACCTCGACGCCGCCAAATTCTGACTCTTCCGTCCGAATGAGAGACTTTCATCAGAGAAGATGACACGCCTCCACTCACGATGACGCCAATTGTGATGACCCTGTGCCCATTGAAGTCGTACTTGTCGATGCCGTGGTTGGAGAACAGGACGACGTGCTGGTCGGCGACATCTTAGGTTGTTGGAACGGAGACGTCGGATCACAGTGTCCCGGCTAATGTGTCGACTGAGTGTTCCTATGGTCTGTCGAGCACTTTCACTTGCAGTTAGGAACGGATGTCGCTGGTGTTGACGGGTAATCTGCCGATCTTGTCGAGGTGTGGTGACCCTAGGACGACCGCTCCGAGGAAGGTCGTCTTTGGTCTGTGTAGCATTGTATCGATGCAGGAGACGGTTAATTGTGGTAAAGTTAACGTTGAAATGACGGACAACATCATGGACAGACTCTCCAGCTTCCAAGCGTCCGATAGCCGGGTTTCTCAGAATTTGAGTTAGGCGTGGCATTGTTGACCAAGGAGTG